ACGATCCACAGACATCTTTCAAGGGAGCGCTTCCAGACACGTCTTTCGTCCGTGGCGTCATTTCCCCGAACTTGTAGTGCAGATCAAAAAACACCGATGAGACTGCAATGCATAACACGCCGATGACGATACACTGGAAACTGCGCGAGTGCAGTATCACAAATCTGGGCTGCTCACCAAGCAAGCGGTATCACTGGGATAAGCCGGCAGTTTGGAATCCCGGTGGTAGCTTGGATCATGGCGGCGATCGTGCGGGTAGCCCAGTGATCTCAGGGATTCCTCCGCCTCCTCCTTAAAGAGTTGTTGAATGCAGAGTAATTCTTGTGGGATTGGTGATGGTATTTATAATTTATACATCCGTTCAAGTCAAGAATTTTCTCCATTCCCTTTTCGGCGGTGCTGTCAGAAAACATATTTATATTGAAGTCACCACCGCAAATGACAGTATAGTGACGTTCGTTTATGAAGGACAAAAACGACCCGAAAATGCAGAAATGTAAAAATCTGGTGGGCGGCAAACAACAGCGATAATTCTGAGGTTTTTTTGCAAACGCAATCCTTCAACATCTTCCGCAATAAAATTATAGTCACTCAGAAGACCACAGTTTATGCCTTCTTTTATCAGGAGAGCCAATCCTGCGCAGGCGCTTTGAAGTAAGATTGAAAGAGTAAAGTGTCATATGATGGTACTGGAAAGACATCAGCATTTTCTGTGTACTCTGTCTCGGTAAACATAACATCAGAAAGCACCGAACTCATAAAAAAAGTTCAAGGTCAGTTGTTTATTTATTGCTGACTGCGCATCAAAATGTAAACAAGTAAAATTGGAACCACTTTCTTTCTCAAGATTGCATAATAGTTCTTTAGGAAGCAATGGGACGTTGTTCCCCAAGAGGAGAAAAACTCTTTATGAAACAAAAAAGGAAAGTACGACCGGTCTTTCTACTAAGACGGCAAAGGGCATCCTTGTTATTTACTACAATCGCTGGGTCATTTTTGCCTTTGCACTAAGATACTCCGATAGCGATGCCATACGTACCGGAAACTAGCCCCTTTAGCCCACTATTTTGCCAGCCAGTGAAGTACCTTGTTTTTCTTAGTCATATTTTCATCAATAAAGACATCGGGCTTGGTTGCACGCAGCTCTTTTTGTTCTGTTTTGCAGCCACTGCTCTTTCGTGGTTTGTCTGGCGAAGCACTTGATAATGTGCGGCCCCTTATCGAGTTCGTTGGTATCTGTGCATAGTTACCACCTCGTTAAATGTTATGAGTGGAAGCTGCAATCTGGACGCTACCTCATTGACCTTATCAAGCATGATCTTCTTTTCAGTTTTGATAATGCCGTGAACCTGGAGATTTAGTTTCCTTGATCGCCACTCAATGTCGCTGATTTCATTTTTTAGTTGCTCGATTTCTTTAGCCGGGCTCGCTTTTTTCGGCAGCATCCATGCGTTTTCTCAACTCTTTGATCTTTTTCTCATGCCAAAATTGGTCTTGAGGACGTCGTCATACTTGTGGGACACCCCTGTGTTTTTTTTTCCCGATGTTTTCAACGGTCGTTTTAGTGGTTCCAGGCTGTCCAGCTTACGGTTTATATCCGCAAGTGAGCTCGCTACATTAAGATCAGGTTTTCTTCCTTACCCGCCCCCCTTTGATTTCCCTGGTTTGCAGCGTGGGCACCGCCAAGACTTCTTGTAACCTTCCCTTTTAAACTTATACGTTGTCTCAGTTACACCAGAACAATCGCCCAAGTGGTAGAAACAGTCGCATTCTGAACACGTCAAGACATTTTCACCACTGCCAAACTCGGCGCGACATTTCGAATAAACAATATCGTCTTCCTCTGACATCGTCGAGAAACACAGCAAAGCAAGAAACGATTCAAAATGAAGTGATGTTTGGCAGCAGCAACAACAATCAATCAATGCACATTTATATAAAATCAAAGGTAAGACTAATCTGAAAGCAACACAGACAAGACGTTAACCGACTTTCTACTATTGACGCCGCTTCCGCTCCCAAAGTGATGGTCCGCGTCTCCGAACAGCTGTTTAGCGCAGGCGATGGTGTCTCTGGTGACGTTTTGAAAGATGATTGGTGGGTGGCACAGGGCGATGCCGGTAAATAATTCATGAGGACGACTTTCCACGTTGAGTAGCGAGAGCAGATCCGAAGGCGTGTAGCTTTCCTGTAGCAGTCATCAGTACTCTTACAAATCAGAAAACTTAAAGTAACACGGGTAAGACGTTAGCTGACTGTGTACTATCGACACCGCTGCAAAAGTGTTGGTCCGTGTCTCTGAACAGCTCTTCTTAGCGCAGACGATGGTGCAGCTGGCGACGCTTTGAAAGATGAGTGGTGGGTGGCACAGGTCGATGACGGTGAGTGTTTTGTGAAGATGACTTGCCACGTTGAGTAGTGAGAGCAGCACCGAAGGCCTGCAGCTTTCCGGTAGCAGTCACCAGCATTCAGCAAAACTTGGAAAACTGAAAGTAACTCAGGCAAGACGTTAGCCGACTATTTACTACTGACGTCACTGCCGCTGCCAAAGTCCGTTTGGGGTCCCAATTTGGTCATCGCAAGAACGAGAGCGAAACCTAATTTGGCCCATATTCAGAAAGTCAAAATCTAGTTAGGAAAAGAATCGTCTTATAAGGCAAGTATAGCTCGAAGGTTTGTCTTCTGCAAGGTGTTATTCGCGGACGAAAATTTAAAAACACAGATACACTTACGCCTCCTCTATTACAGGAAACAAAAATATGGATGGACCTGCTCCTTACTAACAGCCAGAGTGAAATTATATTGAGGATATTCCGCAAAGGTTTCCTTACCGAAAACTCTAATGTATGTCTGTTGAGTTGTTGAAAAGCAGTCATCAAAGGTTATAAAATGTCAACAGTTTTTTGTTTGACTTCCTCTAATATTTCTGATGACCTTCCATTGAATATTGACTCACTTTTCAATAGACAGTCAACACTTTCTGTTGCCTCTAAAATATTTTAGCTTTTCAATTGAAAAGCTACAGCCACCCAGGAAAAAAGTAAGCTTCACATCTTAGCTAGGTATTCAATAAAGTTTTGGAAGGGTTATACGGCTTTTCGGTCTGTTCCAGAATGGCTGCCGCGGTATAACGTAAAAAAAATATTATCGAGCTTTTTATATTTTGGTGTTACTTAGAAAACCTTTCCCAATAGTACTCAGACACGCAACATATCCCACAAATACACAGATGAAACGAACACACACACAAAAAAACAACACCATGAAGTACTCGCAACTCCTGAATCGCAGTCCTGTTGATTGCTCCACATCATTACCACCCTAAATTTTAAAGGTCATGATTTGGCCGCTGGCTGCCTTACCATTTTTTTTAAGGTTCCAAGTATCCTATCCCCTTCTCGGGAGTTTGTCAGAAGCAAAACAATGTTTCGGCGTTCCTGGACTCGATATCTTAGTAAAAGACATTGGCAAAAGCAATCATTATTTGGCACAGTCGCTGAACCACTACCTCTAAGAAGGCGGCTCCTAAAAAGTATATGTTTTAGCTTCTCTGCATAGCACAACTGAGGGTGAGGCAGGTCACAGTAGTTACTCTACTTTAAAATATTAATTTTATTGTTTCTTTTTTTTTTTTTACTAATTTACTACTCTAACAAGGTCTACTACCAAGTTACTATAGTCGCTGAGAGAATAAGAACGGCAGGGCGTCTCTTTCGAACGCATGGCCTCCAACACGCGCTTCGTGCCTTCCGTCGTGCTTTCTTTGACTTCTCGCGCGCGGCCCAGGTGCACGAGAAGCCAAAGCGTTGCTAAGGGTGCGAAGCTCGCGTTGGAGGGGGGACAACTGAAGCTCTTCCCTACCGTTCTCAGCATGTCAGAGCCTTTAGAGGAACTTTCTGACTTTTGACATACGCATAGACAAGATGTACTGTGTTGAATACAAAGTCCACATAAATTCTGTGTCTTTTCTATTGATACTGGTTACAGAGAGTCAACTGAACCTTTTAAATACGAGGTAAACAGAACGACAGGAGTTTTTTTTTATGACACTAGCTCTCAGCAGGAAATTAGGTGAAAAAAATAACGTATGGCTAAGAGCAACTCAACAGCTGATTTTTGCTCGTGCTGCAGAAAATGAACACATATATGTCAGCACAATATCATCAGATAGTCAACAAGAAGCCAACATGTTTTCAATAAAGTAAACATTCTTTTTTTAGGGGTTATATATGCTGCTATTTCGCTAAGAAAGCATTTGCCAACCCAATTTTTTGTTTTCTGTGTGCAACTATTACTTTGTTTCACTGCCTACACACGTCGAAATCCATCGGCGAATAAAATGGCGCTAGGGACAAGTTCATTCGCTCTTTTGAGATCTTTCGTACTATTTGCCTACAAGCGAGAAGGACTCAGCAAAATACTGATGGATCATGGGGTTCGAAAAAAATAAAGCAAATTTTATTCGTAGGTAAGGCTCCACGATCAAAAAGCTGTGAAAACAAGTCCTAGCGAGCAGCCAAGAAAGCTCTCGCTCTTACAAAGCAGCAAGCTCGTACCCTTTTGATAAGAACTCCTAGATAACAAGGACATTGTTCAGAATGTTTGACGTCACTTACTTGAGGTCAGCGCTGCGTGTAAAGTAGACACCTCACGCTGGTTTCGGCGTTCGGCTCGGACTCGTGTTCTCACTGACTGAACCCGAGTACCAGCTCAACGAAAGCACAAAAAATTTGCCCTACTCTGCTTTTCGCTGGCCTCCAATACGTGACGTAGAAAATTAAGCACTACGGCCTGGTCTTTTAGAAGGTGTTGCCTGTGAAAGACCCATGAAGCACTTGTTACATATTCTCATCGGCGTATTGCTTAGCTAGCTCACAGTGCCTCAGTCTGTGAGATTTTAATTAGCTTCCAAAGTTAGAGAAATCATATTACGGGGGAAAAAGTGTATAAAGCAACCGCACCAACTATGCTTTGTTTTATTGATAAAATTATAGACAACGTATGGTAAAAATGCGATTTTATTTCACTAAATTTAGAAACTATGCTGTGACGGGTAATCCTTGTGAGCCAGCACCCCTGGAGCTAGTCGCTAGAAACATTTGATGACGACAATACTGCTTCTGCGAGGTCTCCTTGCAGTAGATTATCTCTCCAGCTTCTGTTGAAAGCAGACACCCAAAATGTGCAATTTAATCCACCTAAAGGCAAATCTGAAAGAAGAAAAAAAGTTACTGGGATGTGCGCGATGATGTTATTTGTGTGCAAATATTTGTATATTAAAGTAAGTAAGAGTTACAGGAAGCGACCAAAGGCTTTTCATTCACGCACCCGAAAAATGTAATACTTTATTTTCCGCATCATGAAGCCTCAAGGTTACGTCTTCGAAAATACGCAAATACTTAGAAAATATACACAGAAGTTAAAAAATAAACTGGATGCCTCCTATGGACTGAGCAACCCGACTAAAAAAAAAAGAGTAATGTCCACGATAGGGATTAACAAGGCGGCTCATCTCCGAACGCTGTGTTATGTTCCGCCAGCCTCAGCATTATGAGCTGCAGCCTAAACAATATAGATTTTTGTTTAATATATTGATTCAATATAGACAAAAGTAGGATAGTATCCCAGTAATATACTCAAACTCTGAACGATAGTTTCTTGTCTAATTATTTTTTGCTGCTAAGACTACGCACCCGCATGCGACAGCAAAGTAAGTAAATTTTTATCGCACAGGGTAATAAAATGTATGTGCATTTTTTTTGGAAGATGTTCCCAATTATGTGAGGCATTCAACTTCTGAGTTCAACGCAAACTATGACCTGGCTCGTTATTTTTTATATTGTCAAATCGTTTCTGGGATAGGTACGATTTAAGTTTTATGTATCACACATAAAGTGCATTCATTAGGCTTCTGACGTTTGGTTTGGGTGCTTTACTAAGCATATGTAGAAAATTTCAAGCTTTCAAGAGAGCATGACGCTGCGAAAAGGCAAAATATTGTTACGGATACACTATATAAAGAAGAAATGAATAATAAAAACAAACATTTGAAAACTTCTGAAAGTAGAAATTGTTTATGAGAAAAACCATTAGTCTGAGTTTCTTAAACTTAATAGTTTTGTACAAAAACTGTATTTATACTTATCTGTTTATGTACCATGCAATTCGCAAAATCCCTCTAATAGAAATGTTATGATTAGTAATCATATGTTCCTATTAGAAGTGTATGAGAAGCTTACCTTCAACAGTGGTGCTGTTTAAGTGTCCAGATATGAACGTACTAAGGCGTTCGCCGGAGGGGCAGTGCCATTCGACTGAATAGCCATATATAGGACCTGCTGGTTTCCTAGGCTCTTCCCAAGCTACAAAGACACTGTTCCCCTCATATCTCGAGACTTTCAAATCCACTGGTGCACTGGGAGCTGCGGGAAATATTAGAGAATTACACCCAGGAAAAGCTCACAATAAGCGCTGAAAAATCCGCGATGTACACAATGCTAAGAAATAAAACCTATTTTTTCAGAGCAGTGAACGTTATTATCTTGTAATTGCTATGAACCTTAGAACAAACTTTTAGTATGTGAAACATATTTGTCGAATGGCAAATATATTTGGGTTCATGATTAAACTCCATCAAAATATGTGTTGAAAATTGGAAATATCAACTTAACAAAGAACTAGAGAATCGTTCATAGCCGTTAACCTATTACATCTTATAATAAATAGTACCTCAATACATTTTTTTCTTTTAGTTTAGGCCTAACGGCAAGAATGTTTGTGTTCATGACGACTCTACCGAAGAGGAGCAACATTTCTCTCTCAAAAAGATTGCAAGATTTTTTTGTTTTATTGTGCTAATTAAACTTTAAAGCATTCGAACAAGACTACGCTGTCATGATCAGGGAGCTGACGAAGAAGCAGAAGAACGGCTCGAGCTCAAGAAAAAGCTGCACGAGTCACAGCCATTGGGCGAGTCTTGGAAGAAGCCAGCCATGCATTTTGCAGTGTCCCGACTTGAATGAAACATCGCGGATATAGTCACACTCAGAGGCACACAAGAAGGAAACAGACTCGCAGCGCTGACTAACAACTTAGTGATACATTTCTTCTTCCCCAAATCGTCATCTTCTTCTCTTTCGCCGTTAAAGAGAACATTTTAAATTTTAACCACCAAACACCTAATAGCAAAAAAAAAAATAATAATAAATAAATGCATAAATAAATGACAACTGAAAATGAACTTAACTAAAAATAAATCTAAAAATATTAATATTTTTGTTTCAAGAAAGAAATCTAAAAATAAATTAAAATAAGTTTATAAAATTTCAAAAATTAAAAATATCTTCATCAGTATTGGCGCTTTGATATTATCTCGAGGTATTTCAATTCTTTCTTTGATGAAGTTAATGATGGGACACTGACGGACAATGCTTGTCCAACGTGGCTATTTTTTCAGCTTCGATAATTTCTCTTGTCAGCTGATTACAAATTCTGGCAATAACAGAGCAGTTACTCAAGTGCGCTGAGCACCCGAAGTCCCGGCAATGGATGCCTAGGTTACCTGAGATTACGCTGTGTATATTATAGTGATGTTCACGTAACCGATCATTCAGGCACCCACCCGGTTTGCCCGGCATACTGGTTACCGCATGAGAGGGGAATTGCATAAACCACCCCCTCAGAGCACGGAACAAAACGGGTGTGTTGATTTTTTATACAACCTAATGTTTTATCGTAGGATGAATTGACTTTTTGATAAACTAGAGAGCTTCTATGGAGCAGAGAATACTATGTGGACGTTTACGCGGTTGCCTATCTTTTTAAGGCCATCAGAAATATGGTGAATATAAGGCATAACCGCCGGCCTTTGGTTCCGGTCCCTTTTCTTACATTGGGTCAAATCGGGATTTTTAATTGTCTGAAGGAGTTTTTTCTGCGACACATGTCAATAAGTAAATAGGGTACCCCCCCTGATAGTAGCCTAGCTATCTGCACGTCAAAGCTAGTTTTTACAGTATATGCAGGCATGACTTTTTGATGGAATTGGTTAGGCATGGGTTAACTACGCCCCTCTTAACTAATTTGGAGCGGGCCGATTGATAATGATGGGGTGGCTTTTTCCCCCTCGGAGCATATTAACTACAAGTGTGGTGATAAATAAAAAAAGGTTGAGGTCTAAGAACCTTAGAGACTCTTCAACCGGAAGTTCATGGGTTATATGTAAAAAATCCAAACAGTGTTTTTTTTAATTTAAGGTGCAGAATCGATATGGAACATTATTCAGAATATCAGTGATGGCGGTTTGAAAATCAGCAGCGTCAGTGAGACTAATTTGGAGAAAAAATTTCCGCGCTAAATTTAGCGGAATTATATCCTCGCTAAATTTAGCGGAAAACTTTCCCCGTTATATTTAGCGAACAAATTTCCGCGCTAAATTTATCGGACATAATTCCCCGCTAAATTTAGCGGAAAAATTTCCCCGCTATATTTAGTGAAAACATTTCCCCGCTATATTTAGCGAAAACATTTCCCCGCCAGCGGAAATCATTTGCGGATAAATTTAGCGAAAAAAATTTAGCGGCAAAAATTTGCTGCAAAATTTAGCGGGAAAATTTACTCAAATTTACGTCGACGCCGACGACGGCGACGCAAATGGCGATGGCGACGACGCTCAAGCCGGAAACGGGCGCCTAAGAGCTGCGCTCTAAAACAGTGTTGACTAGCTTGTTTTGGGCCTTTGTGAGCTTATCTCTGGGCATGGCCCCGATGAAACGCCACCTTCCGCTAAACCGAAACCAATTAAGCGTGTTCAGGCAAAGATACAGTCTAGGGTGCCTCAATGTCCTTCCGATTATGGTGATGCCACCCTTTGTAGTACCCGACGCTAGAGTGAATTAGAAACGACTGTGTGGGGTGAGCGACAGGCTTCGCTCATGCTTTCAGTTCCACCTCGAAATGCGGAAAGCGATCAGGTGGAACCAAGCCACTTCGATCGCAGCGCCATCTTCACTGCGATCGAAGCGAGCGACGACACAGGTCAAGGTCATATGGGCAATGTAACCCTTAGAGGCTATACTGTATTTTTTATGATTTTGACGTCAGAGGTAACGTCAAAACACCACGTCACGACGACGTAACGTTGCGATGACGTCACGACGTCATCGTCGACTACGACGTTACGCGATGCCAAGATGTTGTCGTAATGTCGCCGTGACATCCCTTCGCGTCGAGGACGATGCCGTTACGCGACATCAAGTCGCCGTTGTAACGCGGTCATGACGTCGCGCCGCGTCGAGGACGACGTGGACGTGATCGTCGATGCCGACGTTGTTGTCCACGCACCGCGCAACGTCAAACATTGCTATGACGCCCTGTTAACGTGGTCCTGACATCGTCGTTAGCGTCAACGTCACGGCGACGATATGACGAAGCCTTGACGACGTACAACATCGTTGTCTTTGCCAACATCAGCTTCGACGCGCCGTCACGACGAAGTCTTCACGTCGTGTCACGTCGTCGTCGTCGACGATGACGTCGACGTAGACGTCGTGAGGATGTCTGGACGTCGTCGTGACGTCGAGTTACGTCATGTCGACAACGACGTCGACGACCCAATACTAAGCGTCTTTATGACGTGTTTGACAAGGAAGCCGTTATCTTGACTTCGCGTGACGTTGTCTTTATCATCGTCAACGTTGACATCAACGTCGTTGTGAACGCAATATGACGTCAGAATGCAGTCTTGATGTCGTGTAATGCGCGTGTAATAACTAAACTATCGTCGTTAGACTATAGTTTAGTCTAACCGTGTGCCGCCCGCCTTTCACCGCTCACTTCTTTCTCATCGTTTCTAGGACTGAACTTTGTCGTCTTTTTTCGAACTTAAAAGGAAATTTCAACGAGACTTGTCTTTACTTCAGTAAGACAAATATTTAGCAATTTTCCAAACAAAGGTTTATTTGGTTTTGCCTTACCCAATATCTCTACCACGAGAAACAAAAAGTGTTTCTTGAGCTCGAATGCATGCTGCGCTGCGTTGCGAGAACCCGGTAGCGCGCGTTCTTGAGTCCTCCCTTTTTGGGAACTTCACGATTTTGTTAAAACCACTGCGGTGGTTAAAACGCAGGTTCGGGCGTGTTGGTTGCTCTTGATGTACAGGCGGAGCAGCGCACACGGACTAACTGGAGTGCCTTCATACACACGCGCGCTTTTGCTTGAGTGGTGCCATCTCACCCATTTTTCCGCCCAATCGTTTTTTATGCATTCTGAAGTGCGCTCAATCTGGTGCCACTCAGCTCGAGCGCGTAGCTTTGGCTAATGCATAGACGCCATTTTAGTTTTACCTCCCAAGTTAAGCACCGACTGCGCGACAGCGTCACGCGCTGGCAGATTCAGGGCAACAATGGATGTCTTCACCCTCAGAGAGACAGACATGTAGGCACCCTAGGACTAACAACTCTTTGGTATATTGATACTTTTGTCTTCGTCTTCTTTTGGTATTATGGAGAAGGGCCATGAAAGAATAATTCCTTTTTTTGCAATAGAAAGCTAAACTATAAACCAAAAACAAGAGCTGAAATTAATGTGGGCTAGGTAGTCTAGTTCTTTCTGTGATAGGGCTAAAGACGGAGTACTAACAGATATATCGTCATGTTTTGCGATATTCTCTGCCTCAATGATTTCTCTTATTAGGTGGTTGTGATACTCGCCGAGCACGGCGCAGTTGCTCAGCAGCACTGAGCAGCCAAAGTCTCGACCACGACCGGCTTTATTAGGAATGTGCACGGCCAAAAGTGTCGCTGTGGTCAACTATCCACTATTGGCCAAACCATGGGCGTATGAGCACTCTCAGATTGTCAACTTTGACGGTGTTAGTTTCGGATTGCTCTTAGCTTCTACTGTGGTTTTTAAACACACCATCGAACTCGTCGTCGCACCCGATCATAAGTAGCCAGAATAACAACTGGTGACGTCACGGCGAGGCAAATCCCAGTCGTGACGTCACGGAAGTAAACAATAAGAGGGCGCCACCAAAACACATCGGCGCTAATAGGGGCGATCTGCTCACTCCGCGTGTCCCTATGGGAGCGCGGGAGCCAAGAAATATCACGTGAATGGCTTGGAGGGGTCGAGTGCTCTGCTTGGCGCCGCCCTATAGCTCACCACCAAAAGCGTGGCGGCCGCTATGGAAGGCAATGGGAGCGCGTTGAAATAACGTTGGTTTCGGATGATTTCTGTCGCATTTAATAGGCAGGCGCTAATGCTAGTATATATTATGGACAGAATATGGTAAAAAGAGCCACTATATCATAGTTTTCTCGAGCAGAATAGTTAGTATCTTGAGTTAAGCATTTATAGGGTGTACAAGTGTACAGTATGGTGCATCCAGTCCACCTGCTGGAGCCCACTCCCGTGATCGGAATAAAATATCGGGTTAGATGCTCCACAGCTGGGCCGTGACGTTCTTGGTGAATGTTCGAAGTGAGACACTGTTGATTGGTGGTGAACTGGTGATTGTCGGGTGGACCTCCGAAGTTTCACTGCACGGGGTGCGAAGGAGTTCTACTGACGAAGCGCACGGGTTAAAGGGATACTGAACCAAGGAATTTAGTGTCCATAATAAGTGGCGCACGCTCTTTCCATGAGCCAGCAGCCGCCGGTGTGCGCGAGCACACGCAACCAATATGACGTCACATACCTCCATTCGCGGTTAAGATGACAGTGAAATGTATGGGCTTCGGGCCAAAGGAGAATAAAGACAAGTTTTTCATCTACACAGTGGTGTGTGGTGTAAACGGTAAGCGGTTAATTGGTGTAACAAAGACGTAGCTTTCACTTGTGGAGATGAAAAGCCTGTCTTTATTCTCCTTTGACATCAAGCCCATGCATTTCACTGTCCTCTTAAGCGCGAATGGAGGTCTTTGACGTTATTTTCGTTGCGTGTGCTCGCGCACACCGGCGGCTGCTGGCTCGTGGAAAGAACGTGCGCCCACTTATTGTGGGCACTAAAATCTTTGGTTCAGTATCCCTTTAAAAGGGGCAGCAGTCGACCAGTGCGAGTTCGCCGCAGGGAGGAGGCAAAAGGAAGCGAGGAGTCTGGTAGCAGAAAAGTGGCTAGGAGCCGCGTGGTCACTACTTAAAGACGATGTTGAAGCAGGTCCCTGCCGACTGAACGGAGGAGGTGCAGTGCTCAATAGGGTGGTGTTCGGGGGCCAAGTTGGAGCCAGAATGAGGTAGGAAGCGTGACGTTGCAACTACTCGAGGGAGACAACAAGTTGCCTGGTTGCCGAATCCCACGCCGAGCAGCAAAACTCCAGGATGGGCAACAACCAGTGCTGTGAACAGCAATCTGGGCACATCGCGACTGGCTCTTCTTGTGGACCGAATCACAAAGCCAAGGAGTCACCTTTCCCCAGACACGAGATTTTGGACATAGCAATGGAAATCGAAATGCTGGTCGATGATGACACCTGGGAGGTGGATATGCGTTGTTCTTGGGACCTCCACTCGGTTCAGGAAAAGTGTTGGAGGGGTCGAAGGTTGGCACGAGGCAGTGATGTGCATGGTAGCGCATTTGGTTTAAGTTTAGAGGAAGTTTGTTATCTTTCGACCAAAGAAGAATGCAATCTAGATCAGCTTGTAGCCCTTTACTGAACGTACAATCGCAATAACGACGAGAAAAGTCCTTAAAATACAGCCGATTATTGTCAAAACGTCGCCGGTCGGTGAGCGGGCACACACAGATACACCTTGTTGATATCCTTGTTGATAAAAGTGTTATGTTATCGAAGGCGATCTTGGAGACACTGTTTGGTTTTACCTGTGTATAGTTTTCCACAAGATAGGGGAAATGAGTACACCCCCTTTTCTGTACAAGGAACAAAGATGTTCTTAGGCTTCTCTTTGCAGCCGACAGTTGCACTTGAGGGGGAGGGGGGGGGGTATGTACTTTCTTGCACAAGCTGCGAAGTTTGTTAGGAGCTGAGAAGATGACTCCCAAGTTTACTCTGTTAGCTATTTTATTCAGTCTGTCGGAAAAATTTTGAATATATGGCACAATTGTGCGTTTCTTCGTTCTGTCTCTGCTTTTGTTGAATGCAGATGTCTCGCCTGATTTCTATGATGAGCCTTTCGGCCACGGATGTTAATAAAGAGATTGGATGCCCTGCGCGTTTTAGTCGAGAGACTTGCCTATCAAAGCTTGTTGGGATGGAATGCGGGCAGGATTTTGTAAGTCAGTTTTTGAGGCATAAAGACACTATGCTCCTCTTATCGAGTTTTAAATGCGCCGAGTTGAGTGGTAATAGCGTTTTTTTCCCCATGGGCTCACAGGACCTGCAAAAACGTTGGAGCAACATAAAAAGTCTAAGATCCAGGAACCTTAAAGATCGTTCGTTTGGAAGTTGGTGAGTGATGTCCAAAGGGCTCATACAGACTTTAAAAATGTCGAGAACGTCGGCGACCATGGTGGTAAAGTTGCGATAATAGGAAGCTAACACGATTAAATAATCGTCGACATACCAGTACACTTTTATAACTTTGGAGCTATTTAAAGTGTCCTTTAAATTCCTGTTGCAGTGCGCTAGATAGAGGTCGCTGAGGACAGGGCAATACACGATCCTATGCAGACTCCTTTTTTCTCTAGGAAATAGTACCTTATGTGTCTATGCTCTCCTCTATGCATCTGCGTAAGTGTGTCTCTCTTTAGTGTGCGTGGAATTGAGTGACTGTTTTGCGGGTGCGCCGTTTCCCCTGCAGATGCTTCCCACGAAAGCCACTTATATATATTCGCTACAACCAGTAAGTTACACCAGCTACCACCCAAGCACGTAGCCGGGATTTTGTTTCGGGGGGGCCCGCCCATGACAAAATGCGGTATGAGGGGGAGGGGGGAGAGGAGGTCCCAGCAAAATCGAAGATTTCGGGGGGGGGGGGGGAGGGGGGGGCGGGCCCCATGGGCCGCCCCCCTGGCTACGTGCCTGCTACCACCCCATAATAAAACACGGAGCTATCGCTCATCCACTCCTCATCAAGCTTGTCTGGGTACTTTTAGGCACCTAGTAGGAAAGGGCGGTTACCTTTTTAACGGGTGAAAGTTAACCGGCTTCTAGCGAACGAGCCGTGGTCGTTAAAACCGTCTTCTATTCTTTCAAAGCCGTTGAAACTGTCATCTGCTCGTTAAAACAACAGCGGCCCGTCGACCAAATGTCACGAAAAGAGGTAAGTGCAGGTCCCAAGAGGCTTCAGTTTGAAGGTTGTTTGGGGTAAATAGACTCGGCATAAACAGCAGATGCAAGAAGATGTTGATCATTGTTTCCAGTGGCCATCGTCGACTTGTTACGCCTGATCCACTTTTTCTCACTCTGCTTGCAATTTTCAATATCGACATCGAGTATCAAAGCTACCGTCGGCACCTTTGCGGCCCGAGCAAGGTCGCGACTGAAAATATCGAGCAGAATCTAATCACGTGAATGAGGCTTTAGCGTCCATTCTTCAGCGTTCACACGAAATGAACGGCCGTACGTCGCGTTATTTACACGGAGTTTTGCGGTGTGACGAGCCTTGTTAATTTCGCTCAGGTTTCTAACGTAGTAAGACATTGCTAGACGTACGTAGAATCAACAATTCCAACGCGAAAAAGAGCACGGGGACTCACACCGACGCCGAAAACATCACAATCCAAAGTTTGTTGACGCGAGATGCTGCGCTTCTTGCCGATGCCCCACCGCGAATGTGCGGCGCCGGTGGCGTAGCGCTAAAGCGATCCGGTTTGTGTATGTGTTCGTTCCGCGTTCTTCCCCCACCTTTTCTCCTCCCCTCTTTCACTCTTACTTTCTCTCGCCACCGCCGCTCTTCGCTTCCTCTTTCCAGACGAGATTTGCTTGGTTCCGTTGCCACGAAATAAATGTTGGGAACTGAAAGCTTGTACCCACCTCCGTCCTCGTTCCTCACTTTTGTTTAGCTTTCAATATATTAGCATGTACGACAACACGCTCGTCCAGCTCTAGAAACTTCGTTGTTTTGATTTATTGATATTAACATGGTACCATAAGTAAACGAAGAATCAAACCGTTTTGAGTCCGTGTAACGCCTGAAAAGACTTAAGAGAACTTGTTCCCCGAATCTCTCATGTCGAGTGCGCGAAGAGTGCACATTAATTTACCAAGAAAGATTAATGTAATTTTAGTTTATTAGTATGAGTGGTTGTATTATTGCATATGCTGTAACAGCTGGATTTTTGTTTTTGTTTAAGAATATGAAGTAACAAATAATTTAATGTCTCGCAATACTTTTAGAGGATGACAACTAATAAACCACTTAGTGAGAACAACAGCGAAATTTATAATTTGAGAAATGCAAGAAGCAAAGCACTTTTTTTATCAAGATGGTTAGTGAGTTGATGATGCGAAACATAGGCTTGATTTAGCGTATGCGGAGACCTGCGAGGAATACGTCACAATGTGAAGAGCATTACTGAATAATTCCAGTTTGTTTTCCGGCTGTACTCAATCGGCTAAATCATTCAAAATGTCGAATATCATACATATGAAAATCAGTCAGAAATATTCTGACCGGTACTATTCGATTCTATTTTGAAATTTTAAAATTCGCACACCTATAGTATTTCTAGCTTTTACCAACATTTCCAGTCGATAAATGGTAGTAGTAGTGGTACTCCGACAGTTTTGAGCTACCTAGACTAACTCAATTTTCAAATACACTGACTTCACTCGTCCTGACGTTCTATTCGTTTCCTCTATAATCATGCTAGCTTTTGATAAAAAAAGGCAAATAAAGCTTACGCCAGAGCCAATATTTTATATTTTCCAGCAACGTGTCATTGCATGTTTAAAAGCTAAGGTCTAGCGAGCAGCCTAAAAACACAGATTATGTCGCGCTTTTTTTGTGCTGCTAAAAATTGCTGGAGTGAGCTTCCATATTTTTTATTCCACACCGTCAAACGTTTTGTAATTATTGGGGACAATTTCTACAGCCCAAATTTTAAAGCTGTAATTGCATCTGTATTATTTTTTAGTTTGGCAAATTTAAAAAAGCGGTGAGGATTAGATGTAATATTTATATATTTAGGTTAATAGTTCCCTCGTGTTTACTGGTATTTTGAACGCATTTGCAGGCGAATCACTGATCTCCAAATTTGCTCAATGTTCCCTTTTACTTAAAAAAAATCTGATAAATACTATTTTTATGCAGAATATGTTGAAACTTACTTGGCTAGAATACATGGAGAGTATTTATTTATCTTTCTGGACCTATATGTTGCTTACCTGATACGCTTGTTCTCGCCTCTTGAGTAGATCCCTCTCCACATCCGGCATCGTTACAACCTCTCACTGAGATGCAATATGTGGTGAAAGGCTCGAGATGTTTTAGTCTAAGAAATCCCGTCTTAAAGAAAGGATTCTGCTGATGGATGACGGATACGCTACAGCTAGCGTTACTTGTGCAATTCGTCCAGAGGGCGCTCCCTTGGAGTTCCTGAAATTGACGGAAAGACAGCTCAAGTATCCAATATAAGATTAACAAGGAATACGTTTGCAATGCTGCGAAAACACGAAATAAGAAACACATAAGACAAAAGACAGACACCCACATATTTTAACAACCAACGGCATTTATTGGTATCTCCTTACAACTTGGCTAAGATCTCTTATTAAAAAAATCAAAAGTGAAATATTCGGGGAAAAAACTTAAATAATAAATAAATAAAACAGCAAGCACGAGCACAAAAAAGAAAAAGAAAAGGAAAATAAAAACAGCGAAACAATTGCGAAAATGAAGAAAGTCAAACGACCAATTCAGTAAGTGCTTCAGCAAAGAGATTTTATTACTGGACAGCATAAAAAAGGCGCAGAAACGAGAGACTGAAGTCTCCCACACTTGCCTTCTCTCAATAAAGATGTTTATTCTTTCTGGGCTCGGTTGTTATGCGAGCTGTGATGATTTTGATCTAGGTCCCGGGCTGATGGCGCAATTCGCTAGCGCCTTGTAATTGGCTCTTGAAACAGCAGGGAGGTGACTGATGGCTTGATTTTCTCACTAGCTACACTCTTTCCAGGATAAAAATGGCGCGCTATCCGTGAAGCAACCAAAACTGAATAGTTGTATACGGTCAAGGTGTTGCTCCTGGCGTCGCGAAACGCAACAATGCAGCTGTTATAATCATACGGAATTAGCAAGTAGCTTTTAACTAGAATATTGAACCGAGCCCTAACCGAAAATCAGGGCAAAATTGTTATTTTTAACTGAACCGGGACAAAACTGTAACCCAAATCAAACATTTGATATTGAACCCGAACCGGAACAAATCCGTAACATCATCTGGCGATTAGTGGTTCATTAGAAACGGTTCAGCGTAATAAAATGCCCCGCCTTCTTACAGACGGCGGCACAAAGTAAATAAATATTCGCGACGGTGGCGTCAGCGGCTCAGTTTTGTCGAAGTAAACGACAGCGACGACATGGAGACAGCTCCATAATATTGAAACAAATAAGCATATTACACATCTATGTGCAGCACGACTTGGCGTCATTGAGTTGGCATTGAGGCATACACTTCTATATTTGTTTCATGTTACGATGGACCGAAAAGGACGCTGCGAGACACCGGAGCAAATGCTTAGCTCGGGGGTTGTCACGTCTGCTCCCGGTTGAGCGGAGCGGCGGAATATGGAGGCGCCAAGAGACGAAGCCGGGACGAGCGCGACACTGCTACGCCGGGTGATGGGACGCCAGTGGCCCATAGCCCTGAAAGCGGCTTGACGGCAATTCTTTTTTGTGTGCTTTTTCTAGAAACAGCAAGTAGCCTGTGGTCTCCTTTATGTCCTTTTTTTGTTTTAAATGTCTTTCGACAGGCCATCACTGCCTTTCTCCTTTTCAACTCAGTCGATCCAGCAAGTCGTTTGGCGTGCTTTGTGTATAGTCCGCCGTTTCGATCTGAATGAGCATCGACCGGCATAAGGTCGTTTATCAGTACTGCGCGGTGCCCGCTAAAAGCTCCAGGCTAGCAGTCATACTGCACTGGCTAAATCGCTCATCTACAGTGGGTAACAATGTCGCCCTACTCTGGGTACTCGGACAGACTAAACTCCATCGGCTTAAAGAACTAACGATTAAAGAACTAACGATTAAAGAACTAACGATTAATTTCTTTTTATTTCGTGGTAGTTCGCAAGTATGGTGCGGACTACCGTCACGGTGTCTCTGAGCGTGCTGGCTGATTGACCTCCCATTGAGTACTTTGGTTCTGCTTCCAAACGCTTGTATAACAATTTTTGCAACGATGTTTTTGTTAAAAATTCGAGATCACAAAACGAAATTAGACATATATTTGTTTTACTGTCCTTGTGTCAAAGCACAGCTTCTGCTGACCTACTTTCTTTAAGGCAGATGACGCGGTGTTGAAGTCACATTTTCTTCTTAACAACTGGTAGCTGTGGACTTTTTTTTTGAAGAACCATTTTGAACTGGTTTGCGCTTGGTGGGACCGGTAACCGAACCGTTATTTCAAATGCATCACTGAACCAGAACCGAACCGGAACAAAATGCAAAGCTACTGAACCCGAACCCTAGCCGATCCGGAGCGATGACCGGTTCGACTCCCTGCTTTTAACAAGCCGATCTTCTATTTCTTGCGTGAAACACAAATAAAAAAATTGGATTGAATATGTTAAGGAATCGCAATAATCGTGCAGAAAACGTAAAAAAGTTGATGTCTTTAGGTTTTGCAATATGGTGCTACAGTCCCCCGTGCTGGCGTCCTATTCTGATTGCACGTCGTCAGCGGTTTTCTGTTGTTGCCTTGATACATGGAGATTTGGGGTGGCTATACGCGGCATCACTTCAAACAGCGCGCTGGCGGTGCTGTTGCGCAAGTGTACGAAGCTGAGAGCAAGATAGCTTTTTCTTGCACTACGCCCGAACTAGACAACTTTAAGGCCTTATCAAACAAGCAACAAGCTAACCATGTATCTGTGGAGCGTAGAGACCTTTCAAATAGTCGAATGCTGGCCGAGGACTCGTCGAGCTTCATGTGGCAGCTTTTCACCTTAGTGTCATTGCGCCATTATATATGATGGAAAATAAGCATCATTAATATTATTAGTATTGTCTCGTGGACTGTGGCAGGCGTTCTGAGCGAGCGCAGTAGCCCTCTTACACGAAGTATGAGACGCCACGCATGCGTCCACAGACCTGTAACTCAGCATCTTTCGCCGGGATGATAAGCCCTTGAAAGGTCTATACAAGTGTGAAAAAAATGGGTGGTCTTAATTTTTGGCGTCTGTTGCGACTCGCAAATATCTTACGTTTGATCGCGCGATCTATGTCTTCAGTGACACCAAGCACCACGAAGCGCTTTTTGCGATCGCCCTTCGAGTTTGTGGAATAAGTGCTTTGAAGAATGGTTTGCATTGCTTTGCTTTCGTGTCCGCGTATGACAACGTTAGCAGCTTTCTGCCGCTTTTTCCAGTAACACAGTGTGGCTTTCAATTGGCCATTCCTTCACGTTTAGGAATTAGAGGAATGGAATGGGTGAATTCAGCCATTTTAGGAGTGGAATGGGCCCGGTGTGTTATTTCCGAGAAGTTAAAAGGAATGAAATTGTCGGAAACTCTAATTCCCCGGAATGGAACTGGAATTAAATTGGGTTGCCCATTCCGCACCACCGGTTGACAGGGCACGCGTATGACACGCATTTGAACGTGGCTTGGACGCCACTCGGTCCGAATTTCTCTTTTGTAATTATGTGAACTTCTTTAAATTCTAGCACATTCCCGGCTGTCATTGTGTATTTCGGTTAGGAACATTCCTGTAGTCGCAGCATGTATAAAAACTGGCGTAACGCGTTGCTTCGGGGCGGTCGCTTTCGGAACTCAAGACGCGTTGCAGCTTTTTCTTTAAGTTTGTAGGCGTAGGTTTTCCTGATTAAATGCGTATTTTCCGTTTTACATTGCTTTACCATTTTCAAACTTTGATATTTTGGTGGAGGGGCTGGGTACCATCCTCCATGCATCTATAATGACCCGTGAAGACCACGAGGATGACGACTTACGATTACAAATGACGACGACTACCTAGACGACGTTATTCGAAGACACCTCTGAGGACAATTTCTGACGACGCCCTCCAACGACAATCTCCGACGACAACTTCCGACGAAGATCTATGACGACGACCGACGATGACGATCGACAACTACGACGACCGCAGCCTACGACGGAAAACTACGAGGACGACAAAGGTGACTACGACGGCAAACGACGACAACCAACGATGACGAAAAACGACGGCGAGCCCAAGCTTTTGACGACACTGGAGACTGCAATGAACAGCCCGACGAATCAGGGACTATCCTATTCAGTGAAGGTGACACACATTTATTGTCTTTTGGTGCAACTAACTTCCTTTTATGCATAGCTTCGTTCTGCAGCGGGCCGCTGCTTCTTAAAGGGGGTGTAATGCCGCATACGGGGCGGAGTTTGGAGCGCACGCGGTTGCCACGCGAATGCCAACAAAATTGAAAACCAACTTGACCCGGATATTTTTTTTGTAGGCTTTTTGGAATTTTCAGTCGATTTCCAGCTGTCATCGTGTATCCTGGTTAGGACACTTTCTGAACACACAACATATATAAAATCAGCTGTAACCTGGTGCTTCAGTGCAGTTACCGTAAAAACAGAAATCGCGTTGTACCTTTTATTAAAAGTTTGTAAGTACAAGTTCACCTCATTAAATGCTTATTTTCAGTTTTATGTTCGTTAACCTTTTTATATCTGTGAAAATATCATCCGCTGTGAACCATAGGTCCCTTCTGTGACTTGAAAGTTTGCGAGCGTATTATCTAGATGTTATTACATTTAATTTGTATAAACAAATTAGCTGGCATATTGGTGAAAAAGAAACAGAAAAAAACATGTAGCCCGTCATAAGAATAGGTCAATCCGGTTGCCAGATTAGAAAAAAAAGCGAATTTACAGCTAAATTATGCTGCGAAGTGCGAAAGTAGGAAGAACAAAATCACACGAAAGTCCCACCCGAAACAAAGAGTAATCGGAGGCTGCTGCAACAAAATTTGGAATGTAATCGTTAGGCCAATTTGCACTAACGGTAAAGCTTGTTACTTATGGATATCATTTGTACGAACATTATATAAGATATAATGTTATTGAGACCGCGTACAATAATGAATATGCCCCTTGATATATGACGATTACAATATACATATGCGTGCTTATCAATCAACTTTCGCACCGCCCTGCGTACAAATACTCAATGCTTCAACAAAAGCTCAAATATTCGTAGCTAAAAGAAAAACAAATAAACGTTTAGGTAACAAATTGCCAGCCATGGAAGGCGTCAGGGATTGCAAAAAATTAAGTTAGGTAGGTAATGAACTGTAAATACCTAATTAGCCTTTAAATTAGAAAACAATAAACACATGGCTAAAATTAGAATCTTGCTGAGCGTCACCACAAGCCACTAAAACAGTCAATTTTATTATAACTTAAAGCACGTGTCAAAGCAAGGGTGCCCAGTTAAGTTTTCACTCTTGCACCAGAAAAAAGGTGGCGATGCGAAACGCGG